CCAATTTCTCTATAGTTGTCACAGGAGGATCTCACTCGCTTACTACATACTAGAATGATCAAAGAAGTAGACCAATGTAGTGTTACTACTTCTGATTTTCATACACTACCTAGGACCTCCATCACTCCAATCACCCATTTCCTACCTTAAACCTTCGAAACTTCAACTGGCTAACCGCCAGGTCCTGATGCTTTGCATCGTTTCAGGTTCGATACAGCTTTCTCAGCTTGAAGGCGAGTTGAAAGACCGACATCTACTACCATTAAGGTTCGGGCTGGATGTTAGGCAACTGAAGTATTGCTGAGAGTCAGTTAAACTGTGCTTCAAATTGTTCTGCCCAACGATCTAGCTGCCTTTCCTTGGAGATTATCAGCGCACCATACTTTTCGGTGATGGTTTCAGTAACCATCCCCTTCTTCTTCCTGGTATCTTTAATAACCCCAGATAGTCGCTGCGCGTTGCCCAACGCTGATCCATTCTCCATCTCACTTTCGCCACCCATCACTGCTCACTATCATTGAGAGCGAAGACTCTTCCTCAGTTTGAGTTTAGGTTGCTTTCGCTCATTGTCGTGGTCAGAGTCAGCTGGAACCAGTCTCCTCCCATCAATTACTTCAGATGACGTCGCGGAAATCAAATAATGTTTTTACACTCGACTTGGCGTCACGTCAGGTTTCCTCAGCATGAGTATTACAGTAACGTTCAGATAAATTCTTATCTAACTCCTCTCCAAGGGTGTTCTCGATGTTCTCATCCACCAATCAACCATAGAAAGGCCTAACTAACGCCTATTTCCTGCGACCAGAAAGGTGCGGACACACAGGAGCCTGACCCTATCAAACAGTGGTTCACAGCAACATGACCTGTCTGTGTCCATCGTTAGTTTGATGTCGGCGAAGGCCATGTGAAACAGTTTGTCTCCCAATGCTTGATGTTAATGCTGAATCCAGACCAGTGATTGTTAGAACCAAATTGCAACGGGCGATCATCGTTGACATGGCATTCCGTAAATACCATCAAGATGCCTTTCCGACTGGCTCCGCTCAGCTTTCCTACTTGGGCATTAAAGTCACCTACTGTTATAACTACATCTGAACGATTTGATTTCTGTAGCAAAGTTGACAGATTCTCATAGAATTCATCCTCTACATCACTCAAACTACAGTCGGTGGATGCGTAGGCGGAGATTACGAATAGGCATCGCCTAGTCTCACAATCCTTCTTATTCCTTACGGATTCACTCTGTCGAACAGCACATAGACGGCTGTTGACTGGAATCTATCTATATCTATCTTATTAGTTCCTGGGATACCGACTGGATTCATAGAATTCGATAAGGAATTATGCATAGGTGAATACCCATCTCTTCGTAAAACTATAAATGCTATATATGCGTTATTATGAACTTTATCATAAGGACGAAACTGGTTCGATAACGGAAAGAAGTAGCTTCTTTTGGCTTCCTAATGATTTAAAAAATGCATTCTTACCCCCACCTTTTTGTAGTAGGTGTTGTGCGACGATGGATAAAAGCATTGAACTAGTTTTATTTATCTACTTGTGATAAAAGCTCATCTTTCTACAAAAGCAACGTCTATTGTTAGAATCAAAAGACGAAGAAGCGTTTAAACTAAGGCCTCAGAGAGAATCATGATCGTCAACCACAGTGTTTGATGGATTATCGTACCTAACATGGAGAACTTGTTTTAAATAAGAAGCGCTGGACAACGCAACAAGACTTGTTGTTGGAAAAAACCATTATTTCCTAGAAAACCTAATTCATGAATAAGCAATCCTTTTTATCTTATTATTTTGCCTTCCCTATAATTACATAAATTTTACTAGGCAGTAAGATTTAAAATTATCTTATCAACTGCTCATTATTGTTATATTGGTAGCTAAGAAAATTGCATCGTTTTTAGTCACCAAACGATTGCTGCTACCTGAACGCAGTAGTCAGCCTTGGATATCATTATGACCCAACGAAGTACGCTGGCTGCATAGCTTGTTAACTCGAGGCCCTTCTGTGCCAGAAGGATTTGCTGGATAGTGGTGACGAAAAAGAGTTATCGTCATAATGTAAATAGCTACGTCATGATGACGACCCGAGCGGGAAGTAGTATTGTAGGCTGGACTACGGTGTGATAGTAGTAAGGTATTTCCCATGAATGACTAACAGCAGAATGTTGATGCTACCTTCCATGTGCTAAGGGGCGGATTTGAAAAAGTCAGACACAAAAAGCACACTCTTCCCTGTCCTGCAGTCTTCCAGTGGCAGTGATATGGTCTTTCTTGGCTGGTTACTACTCGGCAACTTGCTCCATATTACTGTATGGCTTCAAAACAAGTCTATTAAAGGTAAAGGACATGAGAATGCTTTAGATGTTTGACCAATGTTGCCTTCTTAGCATAGACCGTATGTTGTGGTATCACAAAGTAACACAGAAGTTAGGTGTAGGGTTTCAAGGAGATGAGGAAAGTCAGTTGATGCGGTTGTGAACCTTCGTTGACTTAAGTGGCTAGGACATGTGTTACGCATCCCAAGTCAGTTTGTCTCGTCGTGCAATATTAGCTGAAGTAGGTTAAGGCTGGAAAAAGGCTTGGGGCAGTTAGACTAATATATGACATCAGTGCATGAAGTTTTTGACTGTTGGCCACTACTTTTGACCAGTTCTCTTTTATTTCTTCACTTTTTATCTTAGTGCTTTTTCGCTTAATGCTGATATGAGGTGCGACAAGTTGGACCGTTATGTAGTAATGTCTGGTCCTATGTTGATGATTATCCGTCAAATGTAAGATGATGCTCCATATCTAGTCAGCAGCTACTTCCAGTTTAAGGGTAGGGAGTGAAGTAGTTTAATAGCCTGACGCCATACACTTGAGAAGTTACATCAGACTGAATTGGTTGGTAGCTGACGAAATCTTAGCTCCAGTACTAAGTGAGGGAGAGCAACCAGGTGCACATTCATGCAATAGGCAATGAGCCACGCCTATTGTGTGAGGGATAATGATACTACCTAGCTGCCTATACCTTCTTAAGCGAAGTGGGTTTGAACGCGTGACCCATAGACTAAAATTCGGGTGCCTAGAGCAATTAAACGAAACTTCAGTGTTCCTTACATGTCACGGAATACCTGCGTGAGCAGCGTCGAGATAAGGCAAAGAGTACTGGACTAAGAAGAGAAGTAAGTCGACGAGGTTGTGAACCTTTATCAAATGAGGTGTTTTGGACGAATGTTGTACATGTCAATCAACCTCCTACATTAACATGCAATGTTTGAAGTAGAATTTGGTTCAAGAAGGATCAGAACGGCAAAACCAAGACGTAATACTAGTCTATGACCATTTGCCAGAGTCGTGTGGGCAGTCTGGATGGGGTCCTTAAAATAATAGGAACCAATAGAGAGAGACGGTAATATGGACGGAAATCGGTCACTATGACGGTGTTGACTAACTGTAGTTTCTTTAAAATGTAAGAGGAAAACTTAGGGACTGTGGTAAAGTACAGTTCCATATCAGACTGTTTATTTGATTCGTATAGCACAGTGACACATATGGTATGAATATGAACAATGAATTCTGCTCAAAACGTCATTCAGTAAGTTATACTGTGTTACTGTGTGCTGTATCAACCAAATAAACTATCTAATGTGGAATGATTTCTTTATATCTTTGAACATTTTCATCAAACCGTTTCTTAATTCTTTCTCCTCCCTTACATTTTTGTCTACTTTGACAACACTATTTTTCCATTCATTTATTCTTTGTAGTTTGCTATTGGTGTGAGAACTTAGACCGACGAACATCTGTGAGTGGTTCTCTTTTGATTTTGTTTGTATGTTAAGTCTGTTGTAGATTGCTTTGGAGAGTAATAGTCGCTGAGATAGGATATTAGTTGGCATAGTAAATTACAACTTTTAAAGCTACAAGTGTCTTACTTAAGTACTTAGGAATTAGTAAGTGAGGTAGAGTTGTCCATCAGCGTATTGGTTACACAGGAAATCATGCTCCTTTTATTAAAAACAGGCTAATATAGGGCAAAGGTAATGGTATATAGAAAAGCTGATTGGAGAAGTAATCAATACAGCAATATACATTGTATTAACAACAGCCTATGCTAAATGGATTTAGTGCCATGTAAGAATTATTGAAATAAAACAAGATATTGAGTATGTACTTAACAGACTACGTCCGCTGATTAATTTGCATTAGAAAGTCGCATCAAAATGTTTAGTTGGCCTTTGTATAGTAGTTTGACGTATGTAACGAAATGATACAATATTGTCTACGCTTAACATAATAAAGGAAAGAATAGTACAGTGGGACCATAAGTAAAATGAAACAGTTAATTCTTATGTCAACACACTACAGAGAATGTTCGAAATAGTCTGTTGAATTAAGGTATAAAATCTTGAGAGGCCAAATCAACTGGAAAACTGTAAAATTCCGTCGTAGTGAGAACGACTAATAAGAGACAATTCCCTGACTACTTGGGTTTTTTTTAAGAGCCTGAGAAAGGTTTGATGCCATCAAAAAGAACGCCACAGACAATTTGTTTAGTCTATTAAGTATTACAGAGAAAGAATTATTCTACTGATCAAAACATCACAGTGAACATGAATTTAACAACGTAGTCAGATAGTTGAATATAAAATTCTAATCTCAGGATGTTGAGTCATAATGACTTTTAAAATAAATCACAAAGATCTAGCCCAAGGAAATGTAAGTTAACAAGTGCTAAGTTATAGCAGAGCATGATTTCCCCAAAGCTCTCAGCCAGTCTTGAATATGTGAGCGAAACATTGGCAATACAAAATTATTACACAGTATGGACAAATGTATATGACGTTATTTCCATCAAATCCAAATGAAACTTGACTTCAGTAAAATTGAAAAGCTTGAAAGATAAACCAAGAACCTATTGCCAGTGAAAGAATTCAAACTTTTGCACTCCAATTTATTGACGGCTGATAAAACTCCTAAGAGAAACCGCCACTTACCACCGTTTCGCAAATACTCATCACCTTCGCTGGGCATCAACTTGGGTCAACCGACCTTGAACGACCTTGGATACTTAACCTGCCCTTCAATTTTGGAATATACGAAAACTATGCAGTTAAACGATTCTCCTTGTACGTCTTTTTCAGAGACACTTTTTTTAAAACTTGTAATCAGTTATAGTAAAATTTTATATCTTCAAGGACCCCGCCGGTGGCTTTTGGATTTGAAAGATGAATATGCCCATGTTACTAGCGCCAGTCAGTCTTAATATACAACTAGTGCGAATGACTTGCTTTTTCATGCTCACTTCATAACATTGAAGGCATGCTGTGCATTTTTGATAGAATCTTCAACAGTGGCTTCAACCAGTCATCTGCTTCAACCGACATTCGCAAAGATGACACAAAAGGTTTGTTTATTTTTTGGCGCTGTATCACTCATCCTAGCATAGTGAAACCAAGGAAAAAATGAATTATTCTGCTATGGGGTCACCTTTTGAATTTTCCACACAGAGAAGTAAAAAGCAGAAACTGAAACACTAGGGATGAACCAATACGAATAAAATGTAGAGCACATGATGAAGGGAATTCAATGAGGAAGCGGCGAAATAAAAGGATTGACAGAAGGTATGGCAAATAGGCGAAATAACTTGACTGATAAAGCAAGAGAGCAATGACGGAAGCAGTGTGGTGCTGTAGTGATGAGATTCCCTCAGTTCCGCATTATTGTTTTTATCCAGAATCCCCCTTCAGCTAGATAAAAGCAATTTAGAACAGTATGGCTGTCGTAACTTTCACACAAGCCAAGAACTGGTAGGCGTGACCGCATTTATGGCAAGTACTAAAGCTCCCTGTACGCACCAGTTGGACAACCCTTGGGTTTACTTTATTTGAAAAGGGATTCAGTTTAGGTATTCCTTTGGACTGTTTGAGTGTCGCCCGATCAAATTCCCTACGTTTAAGAGATACACATTCTCCCCAATCCCGTAGGTAGCCATTACTTCACTTTCTAAGGTATGGTGATCGTGTATACAAAAACCGAGTCACTGTGCTTTACCCAATGGGATCGTTTTTCAGTAGTGCTCTTCCTACATTAAGGTTTTTGAAAACAATGCCACAAACATTAAGGGGGATGCATGGTCAGAAATGTAACTGTCCCTACATCTGTAACCCCTTGGACGGTAATGCATTCCGTTGGTGGTCAAGCATAACTATAAGGCGTTGCTGGTCAGAAAACATCTCTAATAAATCCATCGCCCATGTTCATTATAATCCTACATGCACACTTATCAAACAAACAGCATATATATCTTTGAGGTCTCCATGTTCGGCCGTTGCGACTCTGAACAACATATATATTTTGATATGGATTTGTCGGCAGTTTTACCCCCATATTACTGGCAATCTCGCCAACAATAGACATAAACATTAAAATTCTCGAAGTCCTTACGAATTAGAAATGGCTAGGTCATCTAACATAATAGTTCTCAAGTTTGTTAACAGAATTCGATGTCCGGACAAAATATTTTCAGGAGAGATCATTCCCAAAAGTTGTTTTAGTCCATTCTGGGTTGGACTAAGATTCTCCTCTCATAAAAATTGCCGGATAGGCTTTTAAATCCTTGTCCGTATTGTCATTTGTGGTAAAGTCTAGTTTACTCCTATGAACAAATCCGAATCTTGAATTAGGATACACAAGCCACTTGTTATACTATGTCTTGACCTAATATTTTCAGATAAAAATATTTTGACAATGGATTCAATAGTAGATTCATCTCATCTGGAAATTTAGCGAAACCCGTTACATTTCACTTATTATCTGTTTTGCAGCTGTACGCTAGTAAGGCTGGTATTTGTGCATTATAATTGGCTATCCTACACCGTTAAATTCAAGTGTATACCTTTTATGGCTGTGGCTGTTTCTGACTAGCACGAACTCCAGATATAGAGAAAGAAATTGCCTCGGGTGGTGCCCACCACCCTCAAACCGGTGGTGCATGCAAACAGACAAACCATCGTTTATTGATGTGGAAGATAGGTGGAAAACTGCCGCTGCCCCCGGCAGCATGTGTTTGGACAGCAACCCCGTGTCAGTTCCAGCGCGTTTTTCTGCGTCTAGATGGACGTAGTAAAACTAGCAACAATGCCATCGAGAGTCAACTTTGGCAGTGAGAGCAATAAGGCTGCTTTCATCGACAAAATAGCTAGAAAGTCATTAGAACAGAACGACATCGCTCACCCGGAAGAAGCCCGTAGCTATCTCTAATCTACCCTGAAAACAAAGTTGAAGACCATAGCCTACTCTCAGGGAGTGATTAAAAAGGCCAGTGGATTTTGGCAGCTTCTGAATTAACGGATGTATGTGAAGGTAGTCCTGCAAAGCTCCAAGCACAACGAGTGGCGGAAGCGACTCAAACGTAAACCGACAAAGTGTCTACACAATGACTGCCAACAATGGTGGGCGTCGTATGCTAAGCAGACAGAAAAAGTGGTGCTAATAGGTAACAACAGACAGTCGTTTTGATTAATTAAGAAAACTGGCTCGAGGAGGTCAGTTATAAGGTGGAATGCAGCGGAGAAGGGTGAAAACGCGACTCGATTGCAGGGGGAACAGTAAGCAAGGCACCTGGAAGAACATTTCAACTGGCCTCCAGCTGAAATATCTTTGCCCGCTACCCAACTCGGTGCGAAATGGGGCGGCGAGATATGGCTTGCAACGTCCGTAGAGATCGAGAAGACTATAAGTAGGTACTCTAAAAAGAGAAACAGCGTCAGGGCCAGAAAGACTATTTCTAGAGGTACTTAAGAAGAGAGGGAATTGTTAGTCTAGGTAACTGAAGTGTTAACCGATGTATGGTAGTCAAATACGATCCCCTCTGACTGGTCAGGACTACTGATTGTCCCAGTCCTCCAAACAAGGGAAAAATCCTATTGTGGTAGCCACGGGGTCTAGCGAAAACAGTACCCAAGATTGTGAATGACATAGTCATGAGTCGTTTAAGTGGGGCACGGGAACAGCAAACCCTGAGAAACCAAGCATATTTCAGGTCTAGCAGTAGGTATATCTACCAAATACTCACGCCCCATCCACTTTAAGAACAGACACACTGGGCGCACGACACTGGACTATTTCTTGACCTAAAGGTGACATTCTGCCCGGTCGATCAGGAGATCTTATCACAGTGTCTCCCACTGAAAGGATGGCTGAGTTAATATGTTTACTCGAACAACCGTGGGAGCGCTGTGGCCTACGATGAGTTGCTAGGTGAGCTGGGTACGTTGAGTGATATCAGTCAACGATGTTCACCCTCACAACTCTCGCTCATTTTTATCAAATATGTTCTTATGGAGATCCTTCTTTTATCGTCTGACTGCACAGGGATTGGTCTAGCCAAAGGATCACCTTTAACAGGTCCTGAGTATCCAGATGACATAGTCTTGTTAGACGAAGGTGATGACAACATGACGAGTCTCCTGGACACCTTGAGTGATAATTTCTAAGTGTTTGGGATACGTTTATCGCCATCCGAAAGCAAATCACGGCTCCCGGACTGGTCATCAGCTGCGCCTACTGCACAGATGCTAGAGGCTCGATCGGCCGCCACCAGCGTACGCCACATATGGCACCGCTCTGATATCCGGCATCCCAGTAAGGGCCCAGTGCTTTATGCTGCGGTCCGCTGCATCCTAGTATGTAGCCGCGAAACATGGCCTTTAAAGGTAGAGGACATACGAGGGTCCCACATAGTAGACCACTGTTGCCTTCGTAGCATCTGTAGTGTGTCCTGATGTACACAATTCAGTAGTGCAGAAGTCAGGTGTAGAGTTTCAAGGAAAATTCACTTGACGAATTTGTGATCTTTCATCCACTTAGGTGGCTGGGACATACGTTACGCATGCCTAGTCACCGTCTGCCTTGTCGCACAATGTTAGCTGAAGAAGGCCTGTAGCGGTCAGAATGAAACACAGCATCTTCGGATGAAGTCCATATCTGTTGCCTCGAGTCATTTAGGGGAACGCAGACTCCCTGGTTTAGACCCGCATGACAAGAGAAACTGGTGGTTGGAGAGCCTAGGTGATATGGTTCAGAATCGATCTCGGCTGTGCAGATGCACCCATATGTTGTCTTCACCTTAATCTTCATGCTGGATTCGGTATTTTCCTACTCCTCCTTCCTCTCCTTTATACTTTGGCTGGTTATTCTTTATTTCTTTGCTTTTGTGCCTTTCCGCTTGATGTGTGATATGTGAAACGGGGAGCCTCACTGAGGTCAGAAATAATTATCCTTCCTCCCAAAAGCTACTATGTCTTTGTTAGGTCATAAGGCGAATGCTTATAGCTTCTTTGAGTAAACCATGAAAAAATGTTTATAGGTGATCACGAGTTAACTCTATTTGCTGAGATTTTGAAGTATCATAACTCGATTAGAAACTTTCCTTCTTTCATCATAGACTACTTCCAAGTTAATTCCAATGGGGTTTTGTTGAGAATGAGATACATTTCAGTGTGGTGATGCTTGTAGCAGGACATGAACAACTATCTTCTATTATTTTATGATAAAAAGTTTCATCCTTATCTTTTACGGCGACAGAACATTTTGAAGGTAGATGCTTGGTGTTCAAGGCTGTATTTTATAGAGTAGGGAAAATTGAGTTAGTGTACTTATTATCTTGAAATATAATTTGATTTTGATTTCAGCCTTTTGTACCATGGTGGTTGGAGATGAAGCGTGTTGCTTTTACCTAAGTAGCAAACGTTGGACGTTTTACTAACTAATCTCTTGGTGAGTCGTAGCTACATGCTATCCAGTTTGAGAATTTTCTTGATGAAAACAGTGCTTACTGTCCGGGAACGAAATTCAAATAACGGACGGGTTCATAACGTACAGAAAAGTATTTCCGAATCTGGCCTCCCATAGTTTTGCAGTACAAAGCCAAGAAACTTTTTATTTGGAAGATTTTGGAGTCAATATAAACCGTGCAGTTGAAAATCACACAATATCTTATATCTCAGTCTATAATAAATAAGCCAGGTGAG